GAGAGAGAGAGCGAGAGAGAGAGAGAAAGAGAGAGGAGGTGAAGTATAACATAAGGAAGATAGCCAATATTATATAAGATGTCAGAGGGGTAGTAACTTGGGGGAGGGGGGTTATCACTTTGTGAGGGGTGTAAATGTCTTACTATTATGTTGCTTTGTACACCTAAACTAATTTAAAATTTTTTTAAAAAGGAATGTTATCCAAAATAGTGGGGAGAACCCTCATAAAACTCAACAATAAGAAAACAAACAATCCAAATAAAATTATAGGCAAAATGTCTGAACAAATATCTCACCGAAAAAGATATATAGATAACAAATGTATGTTAAAAAAGTGTATGAAAATACACTCAACATCATTTGTCATCAGGAAACCACAAATTAAAATAATCACATCTCACCATACACCTATTAGAATGGCTAAAATCCAAAAAAGTGACAATACCAATTGCTAGCAAGGGTGCAGAACAGTAAGAACTCTCATTCATTGTTGATGGGAATGCAAAACCATACGTCCACTTTGGAAGACACTCCGGCAGTTTCTTAGAAAGCTACATATAGTTTCATCATACACTCTTAGGTATTCACCCAACTGATGTGAAAACTTATATGTCCACACAAAAATCTGCACACAAGTGTTTATAGCAGATTTATTTATAATTGCCAAAAAACAGAAGCAACCAAGATATCCTTCATAGGTGAATGAATAAACAAAATTTGGAACATCCATACAATAGAATATTACTCAATGATAAAATGAATTGAGCTATCAAGACACAAAAAGACATGGGTGAATCTTAAATGAATATTGCTAAGTGAAAGAAGCCAGTCTGAAAAGGCTACATACTGTATGATTCCAATAGTATTTTTTCTCTCATCTCATTTTGGTAAACATCATCTTTTATATCTTAACGCCTCACTTGGGACTTCAATGTTAATGTCCTGTTGTAAATGTATATAAACATATATTCAGCGACTAAGAAATATTTAGCCACTAGACACAATTCTAAATATAAATGTCTAAGTTTCTCAAGTGCTGTAATCGTATCTTCTACTTCTTTGTAATGTACACACACACACACACACACACACACACACACAGGGAAACATAAATTTTATCCCAAAATTGACTCAATAAACACTGGTAGCTAACTTGTTGATGATTTATCTGTGCATACTTAATTCTACAAAAGCAATCAACCATGAATCTGAGGTCAGAACACATAATTTGGAGCCAGAACTTGGACTATTCAGTTTCCAGCTAAACCACTGGTTGGCCACTTGCAAAGCTGGCATTGGTTAATATAATTATTGTTAGCCAAAGAAAGATCCAAATTAGACAGTCAACTCTAAAGGTGAATGGAATGACCAGGTTACATCCAAAGCAAACTGAACATCCAAATTACTATCATGATATATGGCTCAGATAAAATATTATTTTGTACCTTATATTCATTTGAATCTAAATTCATGTAAAATTATCAACATTTTTAGTTGGGAGTTTAGCCACTCTAGAATTAGTAGACACAGAACTTCAAATTCAGGTGAAATGTGCCATTTTTACTAACAAGCTAGCAAGCCAGCTCAGTTCATATTGAAGTATATGACAATGGGAACGTGCCTTGGGTTTCCTTGGATCAAGGGAAATTCCACTGCTTCTGAATAGTTCCTCCTTGAGCAGGGATAAAGTTTTGAAGTTTTCCTCTAATAACACCTTCCTCATATAAGATGTTCCAAATCCCTAATCCTCTGTTCAGGGGCTTGCAGGGGTCCAAGACTGTAAGATAACAGGTTATGCACAAGCAACGGATGGATTGGTGGATGCCAAGGGCCCATCATTCACTCCATCTCTAATCTTCACCAAGCCTGTGTTTCTTCCCCTTCCCACTTCAAACACTCCAGTTTGCTTTTTCCCTCCATTTCCTCTTCCCTTTTTCCTACCTCCAGGCTTACCTTGTCTTTGTGAATGGAAAACTTAAGCTTAAACATAAGCATACATCAGGGTCTTCCCTTCCTGGGTTAGGCCACTGGCTCCTTTAAGTCTTTGTTTCTGCTTCTGTGTGGGCTACGGAGGGGAAAACAGCCCCCAGGGCACCAGTGAGAGAGCAAAGGGGGAAAGATATACTGAACACATGTCATAAAACACACAGATTTAGTACTACGAGCTATAGCCCTGCCATAAATGCTTTCCAACCAGGACCTTTCCTCTTCACAAAAACTTATTCCTTATTTCACCTCCCATGTTGTGTGCTTTAAAAGCAAAATGGTTTGAAAACAAAAAGTGACACAGCTTAAAAATGTTTAACCAAAATAGAGAGCAGAGTTTAATAGGCAGAGCAAAGGTCATAGCCCAATAAGGGAATTTAATAAGTTAGACTAAGTTGAGGTCATGGTCAGGGGCAATGAGAAGGAAATCTTAGACAGAGTTAAGGTCACAATTGATGACCAAGACAAGGAAAGCAAGCACAGGCTGACAGAAGCCATGTCTAGTGTCCAGGCAAAAGTGGACCCACAAGGTAGGTACATTTTTTCCTGACTTGGGGGTAGATGTGTGTGGGTGAGAGGTGTTACTAAGCTCTGTGAGAATCCATTAGTCCTAAGAGAATTAATTAGTGTTCCTGGAGGCTGAGTATATTAACTCAATCAGTCAAGACAGATGTGGCTTCTAGAATACTTCAAAAGATGTTCCCATATATAAGCCTGCTCTGAGAAATTTTTAATAGATAGGATTTTTAAAATTATTGATGGACTTTGAATCTACTCTAAGAAAGCTAGCAAGGAAAGTTTAGGCCAATAATCCTTGATCTTAGTCCCCTTCTTTCACTCTAAAATACATGGGAACTTATTAAGACCTAACACCAAGTGGCCTTTTATAATTTGCTTTTGATTAAAATATTGGTGTTAGGCAGAATTTGTGCTTTATACCAGTAACTTTTATAACTTCCCATTAATAAAGCGATCTCCAATTTGTATTATAAACATTTATTTTAAACATGTTTGTGTCCCTTTGGGGACAAATTATTTTTAAAAGACTAGTAACAAGTATATTTCTCTGTCTCAGCTCAGTGGTATATGAACATGATGTAGTTTTATTGTTCTCTGATAATTGCCTTCAACCACGCTCAGTCAAACCTGCCTTTTGCATTTCTTAGTGACATCTTAAGCAGATTTCAAATATTTTTTGTTATTTTCAATTATTAAACTGAGTCCAATTAAAACTTCAGTCTCAAACTTGACTTACATATCACATCTTCTCCTCACATTAGAACGGTTTTGACCTGAGACCCTAGGCGTTGAGACAGGAAGAGCCACGGGAAGCTCAGAGCTGCCTTCCCTTCCTCTGTCTTCAAGGCCTAGTCCCCCCAGTATGTTGGCAGAAGCAAGGCAGAGAAAGGTGTTTCTTATTTAACTGGCCCCTCCCCCATCCACTGCTCTGTTCCTCAGGGTAACATTAAGTATCTACAGACACCCCTATGTGGTTGTTTTTCAAATATATGACCTTCAAGAGCCTTTGTGGGAGCTCTTGTTGGGGCTATTGGGCCCTGATTCAGAGGATCTGGCTCTGCTTCTACCATGTCCAGCCCCTCCCCCCACAACTTCCACCTTCAAAGGACTATGCCACAGCATCATGGCAGCTATGCCCAGGAGCCTGTCTTGGCGGGAAGCGCTCTTAAGTGATGCAAGCTCAGCTGCTTTCTACTGTATCCTCTGGGCCCATGGGAGACATGTATCTGCACATGGCCACACTTTTCTCTGCCCCACCATCTCCTAGTCCTCTTCCCCCTGCTCAGAAGAGATCAGATGGGATCTGCCCTGGGCAGATCAGCAAGTTATCCACGTGGAGACCAAGATGCCCATCTCCCCTTCTCCAATTTCTAAAAGTAATTTTCTGGAAGCCTTCCCCTTCTTGGCCTTTGGGAAGTTCACATATATTTCACTCCTCTCCCAAGGGATAGAGAAGAAATAATTTCTCAACACAAATACTGTACATCCATGGCTTCCTCCCCCCTCCAAACCCCCCCTGCCCCCCCACCGCGCAAGCGCGCGCGCGCGCACACACACACACACACACACACACACACACACACATGCCTCCTTCTTCACTCCCTCTTTAGTTTTCTTGTATAGACTTGAGGCAGGGGGGAGTTAGCAAGTGGCTGGTGATACAAGGGACTATTTATTACTTCCTAATAAGCCTGGAGGAGGTGACTTCCCAGGGCCCTTATGAATTGGTGGCTCTCGACACGATGGCAGTTAGTTTCTGCTTGTTGTTTCCAGCTTGGGATATCAGGAGAAAGATCACTCAACATCCTTTAGCTGGCTTCAATAGAAAAATGCACAAGTTAAAAAACAACAACAAAAAATAAACCAATATTTTCACCCCAGAATCCAAGGGACAAATCTTTTTGTCAGGGATGAGTGAGTGAGGCTGTGTGTCTTTTTGTGTAGACACGGAAATCTTCTCCTATCCAAAAAGGTCATGTCTTTTGTGAGCCAGTCAAGAAGGGATGACTGTTTCTTTAGCTGAGAAAACCAAACAGCTGCTTGGTGACGGGGAATAGACCCTGAAGGCCTCAGAACCCTCTGGTGTCTCCTCTTATACCTGAGCCCATGTGGACTCAGTTTCCCCTCATTTTCTAGTCTCCATTTAACATGAAATTCAGTCAATAACCACTAATTGGAGGACAAATGTGAGTACTTGTAAAGCACAGGCAATTCAGAGAAGTCTAAGAAGTAAAGAGAGTTATTATCAATAACGTATACGTTATTCCCTCTGTGATTTTCAGAGTAGACCCCTGAGGAAATGGAAATTTTATTTTACAACTTGTTTTAGAGAATAGAGGGTAATGTGTCCAGGGGACTGTGTTCTCTCCCTTCTCAGCACTTATCCCCCATAGTCAATGACTTGATGACTGCTGTCCCTACTGTTAGTTATGAGAAGATAGCTGGTTCCTACCCTTAGGCTGCTGAAGGTGAAGATACACATTCCATTAACAACGCCCCAGCAGATGCTAACACAGTATCTGGCAGTAAGAGCAGCTGAACAAATGTTTTAAGCTAAACTGATTGCAAAGGTTTTGTATCTACTGGAGGACCCAGAAATGGAAAGAAAAATGCCAAGTTAGATACATGATGGTTACAAAGGGAGGAAGTGTCAAGAGTAGGCAGATGGCGGAAGGGCCAAAGCAGTCAGGGGGAGGCAGCCAGCCTTCAGCTGGAACACTGGTGTACTGTCTGGCAGCTCTGCCTCCAAGGAAGAAGTTCAAAACCAGAAGAGTAGACTAACAGTCTTCTAGCAGCTTTGTGGTCAGAGGTAGAACTTTCCCAGTCCTGAGAGCAGGAGGCATACCAAGGTTCTTTTTCTCCAAGGTTTTTTCTTGAAGAAAAGACTAGAAAAGATTTGGACTGATATTCTCTCACCGGGGCCAGGGAGATAGCAGATTGACCCTAGCAAGGATTAAATTTTGCTTAGTTCGATCTAGTATCTAACCTGGACAGGCCTAATAAATAATAGCTTGGCTACTACAATGTAACAATCCTGAGGCAGGTCACTTTCCTTATCCCCATTTTATAGATGAGGAACCAGAGGCATGGAGAAGTCATGTGACTTGACCACATTTGCATAGTTTATAAGTGCCTTCAGACCAGGTTCAAACCTGACTCAATAGATCTAGAGCCTGTGCTTTTAACCACTTGGATTGGCAGCCTCCCACGTAGAGAGAGTGGAGCCCACAGCAGGATCCCCCAAAGAAAGAGGCTCCTTCTCTTTGTGCTATTACCTACTCCAATTAGCAGCAAAGGGCCGAGGAAAGAGTCCGAGAAATAGGCAGAGAAGTTGGGGAAATGACCTCCTTCTCCGCAGGCAGCCATGGAAAGAACATTTAGGTTGATCGACTTCCAGAATTTTCAGGAAGAGAGGACGTTCCTTCTATGTCACTGCTATTCCTCCCCCAAATCCTTGCTCTTAACCCAGCTGTCAGAGCGAACCCTTTGGTAAGGGACTGATAGGTTTGAGGCACCACCTAGTGGCGTAAACTGAAAATACTCCCCAAGGAAGTCCCTGGAGAATCAGCGGCAAAGAGGAAAACAGCAATCAATCCAAGGCAGGGAGAGAAAACAGAAAGCTAAAACTGCCCACGCTCAAAGCCTTCCTTCCTGCATTCCCCTGTAGCCTATAGCCACACATCTTTAAAAGATGTCGTGTTTTTTTTTATGCCAGCCTATTCAAGGGTTTACCCAGCGTATCAGAAACAAAGTAAGAGCTAGAATCCAGGAGACCAAAATCCCAGGCCCCAGCCACTTACTCTCCAACAAACTGAAAAATTGTGTCTCCTATGTCTCTCTCCAGAACTGAAACCCACCCCGGATATCTGTGCACCTTACTCAACATCTGGGGGAAACTCACCAGAGAGGTTGGTGGTTATGAAGGAGCAGGAAGACAACGGGGAAACGGGAAAGAGAAGGTTCTTCCTTCTGAAAGAAGTATCACTGAGCTTATGCAAAAACCTCAAAGTAATAGAGGGAAGGGCTGCAGAATGCACTATTGTAGGGTGTACCCCTTATTCCTTGTGGTTTCAGGAGTGATTAATGGATGTTTATCCCCTGTCCCTTATGTGAGACATATTCAGGAACAGCCCGAGGGGACCTGACCAAGCAAGAACAAGGTAATTCACCTGAGACAAAAGTGTCACACACTTTTCAACAGGAGAAGTTTGCAGATCAGGTCAACATCCCTAACAGAGCCCTGGTCTAGATCAAGCATGTGACAATGAAGAGTTAAGGAAAGGGGGACAGCTAGGAGATGCAGCCTGAGGAAACAGGATGCGAGTACAGTTTTCTAGAATTCTGAGTAATGGTCATACTCTGATGTCGGGTGCAGATGAGGCCATTAGCTGGTGAAGTCAGCTCAGGGTGGTTGGCGAGAAGGGGTTGTAATAGGGCTCAGCCCCAGGAAACCAGGCAGCCAGCTGGCTCCTCCCACCCTACCTGGGGAGATGGAGAAATCGCAAGCATTCAAAGGATCAGACAGAAGAAGCCTAAACAGACAAAAGTAAATTTGGGAAGCAGTCAAATGTAGTGTCAACCAATGCCAGGTTGAGTGTTAGTAAGTCTACACAGACATGGTCCCAAATCAGTTCAAGGTAGCATCATGCTAGGTGTGAAAGACCCTTGACCCTGAAGGAACCAGGATTCTGGTACGTTTTCTAAGAATGGGCCTCCAGATGTTCCTCTCTGTCCCTAGGCTTCATTACACCTACTCTGCAGGCACCCTAGCCCCTGCAAGACCCCAGTATTCAGACCAAGGCAGAGGATCATATTTCTCCTATTGTAACTTCAAGAATTCTTGTCCTCAGATACCCCTGGCCTGGCAGTGCAAACCACTCCTCCACCTTCCTACTAGCCTCTATGTTCAAGTCCCTAAAACTCTGGGCTCTCTTGACTGTGTCTTGTCATTTTGGGTCACCTTTATTTTCATTTTTCAAGGTTGGTTATATCCTTGGGTGAAGTGTGGCTT